AATATAGCTTGGGTCCTGTAATTTATTTCTTATTAATTTATGAACCATATACCAAGGTTCCCGGTTACCCTCCTCAGTCACAAATTTCTTCCACGATAAACTTTTCTGTTTTCTAATCTCACTAACGTATCTTTTCTAGCCAATTTATACGCTTTGCTGTTGCTTTCCCACACATCCTGCAATTGAAGTACTTCGAAATTCGAATTGAAACTTTCTGACTTCAAATGATCATAACTTCGAAATGAATGCATGAAATGAAAAAATTCAAAGGCTATTATATAGAGGAAAGTCAATATTTATATAGTGTGTAGAAAAATATTGCTCAAATTGCTAATTAATAACAATAAAAGGCGAGAAATTGAGATAAGGTGCTACCATGCAAATATTCCGTAAAATATGTTCGTTATTCTACTGTAACTTACTTCTAAAACAAGATGAAATGCACCGAATATGAAGAATTGTTATTATATTTCATCTTTCTCTTCTTCAGATGACATTTCTTCGGTAAAATATTGGTTGAGGAAGTTAGCAGGTGATAATACAGTTGCAACGTGTGAACAACACCCCGCTACACGTTGGTCTATTTTGCACTCACAAATATGTCCAACAATTGTCCAATGTCCAACAATAATATACAAACAAAGTATTTCACGGAATTGATGTGTCGTGAGTGCATTTGAGTTTTAACTAAAATACTATTTCCAGAATCCAGGTCGATGTGGTATTTGCGGTAATCTATTGTCAAAGATATTGTTGCTACTTGGAATTCACCCGACTGAGAGAGGGAGGGGACGGTCCAGCTCCGGGAAGAGAACGGCCCCTCATGGGAGCCAGTCGGGGTCCTCTACCCCGGCGGTGCGGTCCCCTTCCAGACTATGGAGGAGCTTGCTCCTCAAGCTCGTAAGAAAAAGAAGGGGCGGCCAACGTCAACCGGGTAGCATGCCCAGCGTACCAGGGTGATGCAAGAGGCCCTAGAAGCGGCCAAAGCGGAAGGGGAGGAACAAATAGTCCCCGACATCCTGGACCACCGCGACGTCGCGCACCTCGCGGAGAGAACAAATATGGAGGAGCGCGACGCCTTGTCCACCAAATTGAGGGAGGCACCCCTGGCATATCTGGGGGAGCGGGCCCTCCAGGCGGCGGACGTGGTGTATAAGGTAGCCGGCAAGAGCGGCCACTTACAAGACCTCCTTGTCAGGTTTTAAAGGACGCCACGGACACCATGGCCGTCGCCAGCCTGGAGGCCATTAGGCGGGTCCAGAACCCCCGCTTGGAGGCAGACAACCGCATCTTCAGAGACGAGGTTTCCGTCCTCTGGGCGGAGCTGGTGGGCCCGAGGGTGGCTGTCCACGATAGAAGCCCGGTGAGGACGACGAACTCTCCGACTCGCGTGGTGGCGTCTCCGCCGCGTGTGCCCCATCTGTGCCAAATGGGGCTCCACCTGATCCGGTAGTGGAGGCCATCTCCTAATGGCAGAAATGAGAGTCGCACTTGGAGCGCGGCGTAGAGAGTTGAACATGCCCACCCCTCGAATGGAGGCGGAGCCTGAGGGTCCTCTTCCAAGAGGAGCAAGAGGAGAGGAGGAAAGAAAAAGAGAAGAAAGAAGGGAGTGCGGAAGGGGTGGCGAATATATCACAGCCACCCTCCACAACTACGGTCCAGACTCGGGTACAACAGAACTAAGCGACTAAGAAGAAACCTACTTTCGAAAAGCCGCAAACTGCGCCCCAAAGACTGCAACAGGGCACGGCTGAGGGCGGCAAGTGGGATACATGGGCCTGGGTATGGGGCGCAGGGAGCGGAACGCTGCGAAATGGGCCGCTGCCTCTGCTTCCCCGCCGGCTGGGCCCAACATGAGTGGCTGGAAAAGAGGGAACCAACCCCCTTCGCCGGCCACACAGAGGATGTCCCGCCTGGGAGCAAGAAGTCTCTCTCGGAGGTCGTGTCCAGAGCTGAAGACAAACTCAGCCTGGCCGACCTCAGAATAGGGGATGAGCGCCACAGGCGGGCCAGGACCGGGGCTCTCATAGTGGAGAGGGAGGCGAAAGCGGAAGCCTTGGCCAAAAGGCTAAGAGAGATCTTAGGGGTGCATTAGATCTTGGTCGTGCACCCGCCACTCAAGGCTGAAATGCGGATGTACGGCCTTGGCAACGCGGCCACTCCCGGAAAGGTCGCTGCGGCTGTGGCCGCGGCCGGAAGGTGCCCCGTTGGGGAGGTTAGGACCGGACAAATCCGATGCTCCCCTAACGGATTGGGCGCCCTCTGGGTCCAATGTCCCCTGGCGGCCGCCATAAAGGTGGTCGCCGGGGAGCGTGTATGGGTGGGTTGGGCATCCGCAAAGGTGGAGGCGCTAAACACTCGGCCTCTGCAGTGCTTCCGTTGCCTGGAGGGTGGGCACTGCAGACAGTGGTGCACTGATGAGGTCAACCGAGGGGATTGAAGTTTCGGACTTACCTATATAGAATACGTCTGAATTTTTTCATTTCATTTCGAAATTATGATCATTTGAAGTCAAAAAGTTTTAATTCGCTTTTCGAAGTACTGTTTTCATCTACATTTTTTATAACTTTCCCATCACATTTGCCATAAATAATTGTGCGTTTATGATGCCTTAGGACTTATAGAATGATGCCTTATAAAAGTTTTAGGTGCCTGAAGGGGTACAAATTTGGCACTTTTTTAACATCCTCCTTTTAATTGTTATTACAAGTGTACAATTTCTGATATTTCGATAACAATATTAGATTCGCAGTGTGTGCGTGCAGGTGCACGAATACTGGAGGGGCTCGAGCGAAACGGGATTTCCGTTTTCGAGGGAATCGAAAATCCTCCTTTTCGCTCGGGAATTTTCCATGACCGTTACAGATCAGTCGCGGGAGTAACAAGCGACCACCCTGAAAAACGGTCATTTGGCCACAGACCTGCGAACCGTAGCACTTAGGATTTAATATTATAAATATTGTTTATATAATATGTGTGACAATAACAACACTTTTGAAAACGAAGCTGGTAAATGACATAATTATTTTGTTGTATTATATTGGGTTGTCCGGAAAGTTCGTGCCGTTTTTCGGTAGGTGGCATTAGGACAGGTCTGAATATATCAGAATGATCGTAAAAAAATGACGTGTGTACATATTCTAAAAGGTGATATTTCAGGCATCTTTAGAAAAAAGTTTGGTTAGGATTAGAGGTGTGCGAGAACCCGAAAATGTCGGGTCGGGTCGGGTCGAGAATTTATCTTGGAATCGGGTAGGGTTCCCGAAAGTATCTCGTGATTTGAGATTATCGGGATTCTCGAAAATTTCAGGATACCCGAGAATTTCAGGATTCTCGAGAAAGTCATAAGCTATTACAAGAAACAGTTCTACCAAGTTGTTATAATTGGAAGACTTTCTCAACGCGCGTCTCTGTTTGTAAGGGGTTTTTAGTATAATAACACTTCGTCCGGATAATTGCAAAAACTATATTTATTTCGTTGTCATTGACTACGCGGTTCAATTTGTTCTCTTACAATTCTTACAATTCTCACGATTCTCACAATTTCCCCTGCAGTGCTCTTAACGCGTCCTTATATGCGGGCCTTGACGCCCCTCTCTTGCCTTCGGGAAATCCTGGCGCAAGTTGGGGGTTTCTACCCGGCAAGGGCCACTTCGCGCGAGCACGTGGCTGGATCCTTACCTGACCCAGCCCTTAGCGCGTGGAGGAGTCAGGCGTTGGGACCGGCTTCTTCCGCAGACCGAGAGGTCTGCGGGTCATAAACCAGCCCGAGTCTCTACTTTCCCTCAACCATACTCTTACATGTTTATTTTACGTTTGTATTCGGTATTATGTGAAAACGATATGCCTAACAATTTAAGCAACGAAGAGTGGAAATATGTAGAAGTATTAGTAAATATACTTCAGCCCGTAACAGAAGCGACAGATATAATGTGCGGAAATCTCTATCACACCTTATCATACTTTGTTCCCATGTGTATTGGGCTGAAAAGTGTTTTTGAATTATGTGGTACAGAAGATGGATTAGCGTCTCAAATTTGTCAACATCTATCTAATGAATTAAAAATAATTTTCAAGCATTGTTTTGATACTGAATTAAAGAAAAGTTATTTTGCGAAGCAATTTTAAAATTTACTTAATATAATATATTTGCAGATGCGTTTTAAACCATTGTGTCAAAAGAAATATTAATACAAGCAATGTTGTTAAACCCGCAATTGAAAGATCGGCTTTTGCAACAAGATCAGAAAAATGAAGCAATTGATTGCTTAAGAAATAATATTACTTGTAGCAAAGACGAGATTGATGCAAATAGTAAGAAGGAGAGCATATCAATTGCAAAATATCATAATGGTATGACTCTAAATTAGTTTATAATTAAGTGACTTAAGATTCTTGTAAGGAGTTATCAATAGGTTACATTTTATTTTATAGGTGAACCCAAATCAAAACTCCTAAAATTTTTCTATAAGAAGCTTGGTACCAGTACAGGGGACGATACAAATCAAATAATAGATACGTTTACTGAACGTAAAAATATGGAAATGCAAACATATTTTGAAGAGATTCCAGTATGAAGAAACATTAATATGTATTACACATTGGTGGAAAAAAAATGCTAAGAGGCTGCCTACACTAGCAGAAACAGCACGATGCTACATTGCTATTCCTGCTACGCAAAAGCAACCAGTGAGCGGCTTTTTTTCAACTGCTGGTAATATTGTTACCGAAAGTAGAACGAAACTAATATTGGAAAACGTTGAAAAACTAGCTTTTCTACACGAAAATATGAAATAAATCATATCTATCACATATTTGCTTATCATTTTCGTTCCATGTTCTATTTCTCATAATTTTATAATTCTCGAGAATCCCGAAATTCTCGAATTTTGAGATACTTCCGAGACCCGACCCGAGCATCAGGTTCCCGACATTTTCGAGTTCTCGCACACCCTTGGTTAGGATACATTAATTTTTGTCAGTATTATACGGTCTTGAATATGGAAGGAAACAAAGTGCATTATAGGCATTTAATGCTTTTCTTTTACCGGAAAGGCAAAAATGCCACACAAGCAGCAATCAAGATAGGCGCTGTGTATGGCAAAGGAGCTATTGCTGAAAGAATTGTGCGAAAGTGGTTTGCTAGGTTTAAAACTGGTGATTTCAACCCTGACGATCAAGAACGCCCGGGTAGACCCTCCACCACTCATGAAGATCAGATCAAAACACTGATCGAGAATAACCCACGCTATACGACACGTGAATTAGCAGAAGTGTTAAAAATATCAGAAACCACCATCCACGAGCTTTTTGTGAAGCTTGGCTACGTAAACCGTTTTGATGTATGCGTTCCCCACAATTTAACGGAAAAAAATCTAATGGATCGCATTTCCATCTGCGACTCACTCTATAAACGCAACGAGGAGACATCATTGTTGAAGCAAGTAGTGACGAGGGATGAAAAATGGATTATTTATAATAATGTTGAGAGGAAAAGGTCCTGGGGGAAACGAAATGAGCCACCTTTAGCCAGCCCAAAAGCCGGTCTTCACCCGAAGAAAATCATGCTCTATGCCTCGTGGGACTGGAAAGGAATCCACTATTATGAGCTTTTTCCAAACAACCATACGATAAATTCGTAAAAAAGTATTGCTTACAATTAGACGAATTAAAAACAGCGATTGAACAAAAACGTCCAGAACCAGCGAATCGGAAGGGCATCGTGTTTCATCAGGACAATGCGCAGCCTCGTGTGTTTTTGACTACTCGACAAAAGTTGTTGGAGATTGGCTGGGATGTGCTACCTCGCCCGCTATATTCACCAGACCTTGCACCCTCAGTTTTTCACTTATTTAGGTCTTTACAAAATTCCCTTAATGGCAAAAACTTTAACTGTTTGGTCGAGATAAAGAATTATCTTGAAAAGCTTCTCGCCGAAAAACCTCAGAAGTTCTGGAAGGATGGAATCTTCAAGTTGCGTGAGAGATGAAGAAAGGTTGTAGAACAAAATGGCACCTACAGTGGCGTGTATATAAATAGGAACATTCTTTCTTTATAACTCAAACGATGTTATATTGTTAAAAATAAAAGAAGATCGAATTGAACGATGCTCCCTTGCAATTGTTTGCCTGTTAGTTGTGTGTTGGTATAGTCACAGTGATGAGGTCTTGGTTAGAATTTCTGAAAGTTCTTAAGTTATTCAGAAGTAGGTGATTTTGTTCGAGCACTTAAATAGAAACAGCACATTTTGCTATATTTCAAAGGTGAGTTTCAATAAATGTATTAATGTTATGCTAAATACATATAAAATGTTCATCATTTTGTTCAATATTTTGCACATATTAACAACAGAAATGGGTAGAGGATTGCATATAACACCTGAACAGCGGAAAGAAATTGTGCGACTTTGGAATGAGAAGATGACATTTCGTCAAGTAGCTTAACGTATGGGTTTATCAGTTCATGCATGTTATAAAGCTGTAAAACACGTAGAAGTGTCAAATACATTTGAAAATAAAATACGGGCTAACAAATCTAGAAAAACTACACCCCGAATGGATCGGGTGATACATCGACTTTCAGAAAAGGATAGGCATCAAACAGCTGTGCACATTCATAAAGAAATTTTAACAAAATTTGATGCCAAATTGGTGTCCACACTATACGTCGTCGTTTAACTGAGTTTGGCCTTATGGGTCGAGTCGCACAAAAAAAGCCACTCACTTCTAAAAAAAATCAAAAAGAGCGATTAGCATTTGCATGGGAACACCTCAAATGGTCACAAGACAGTGGAGCAAAGTAGTATTCACTGACGAATCCAAATTTAATCGTCTTGGATCAGATGACAAATTTTATGTACAAAGACGAGTAGGAGAAGAATTTTACCCAAAATGTGTTAAATCCATTTGCATCATTAGCGTATATATACACTCAATTTTCCTGGTCACTATCACCGGAGCGTATATATACGCTCAATTTTGTTGTTCCTTATCACAAGGGAATTGAGTGTGACATTGTTCCGTTTTGAAGGCCTTCGCGTTTCAAAGGATACAATTACACGACCCTTACCGGAATTTTTAGCTTGGCCGTGAAGGTCATAAACCGACCATTAACAATTTTACCTCCGTCTAGTCATAATTCAAGACCGACGAACCGCCGAAATCATGCACAGCTGCATAACACATTTTGCCGAAACTTTCGATTTACCGTTACCCAAGACCTTACCTACATCTGCTTCTTCTTCGCAACCTTTCCCACTGTGTAATTTTCCAACTCCACTCTATGTAATTTTTCCGACCACTTCCACAACGAATCAAATCCTTTCGTCTAAGAGAACATCCGAGTCTGACTTAGCGAAAGTTACAAGCCGAGACTTTTGTACAATTTTGAAAATAACGAAACGTATTCTCCGGAGTCAACTCTACAATTTCTCCGTATCCTGTCGTTCTCCAAATTCCGAATTTCTGTGAACCGAGACGACACAACAGACATGATATTTTCTGTTAGCTAGGAAATAAAAATGGAGGATGTTAGTAGAAATGAAAGTTGTAATTCTGAAAAAGAAATTAGACCACTGAAACGAAGACAAATTATAGAAATAAGATCTGATAGTGATGATGCTGATAATAATCGAAGTGGGAATCAAAGTTGCGAATTCGAGTGGGGAAAAAAAAATGATTTACTTAAAGTGCATAAATTTTTAGGTGTTGGTGGTGTAAACAAAGATATTTCAAATTTTACTAGACAAAATGTGTTTGAATTATTTTTAAGCGATGACATTATCCAAGACATTGTAGCGGAAACAAATCGGCACGGTAAAAATGATCCCAGTTTCAAAGAGATTAGTTTGGAGGAATTAGAAGTTTATTTTGCTTTGATTATTTTGATGTCTTTGGTACAAAAACCTCAAAGAGTTATTGGAGCACAGACAGCAGTACTGAGACACCATATTTTAAAACAGTTATGTCTCGAAATAGATTTATGTCAATAAATAAAAATTTGCACTTCGTAAATAATGAATTTCTGCAAACTGAGGACCCGTTGAAAAAAATAAGACCAGTACTTGACAAGATTACAAAAGCATTCAAAGAAGTATATACACCAGGACGAGATATTTCCTTAGACGAATCGTTGATGAAGTGTAGAAGTAGATTGCATTATGTTCAGTTCAATAAATCGAAGAGAGCCAGATTTGGTATAAAATTTTATAAAGTTTGTGATTTGAAAACCAAATATATACATAATATTAGAATATATGTAGGAATAGATAAAACTGAGAAAGGGCTAGCAAGCACGAAAATTGTACTAGATCTAATGAGAGAAAGTGGCTTGTTACAAAAGGGTATTTGCCTGTATATAAACAACTGGTATAGCTCCCCAGATCTATATAATAAATTATACAAACTGAAAACAAATGTTTGCGGCACAGTGAGAATAAACAGAAAAGGAATACCGAAAGCTCTAAAGAGTAAAAAACTGAAAAGGGGAGAAGCTACTATACTCCAAAGTAAAAACATATCAGCCATAAAATGAAGAGACAAAAAGGACGTAGTTATGTTATCAACAATGCACGCTCTTGAGTTTGCTGAAACGGGAAAACAAAATTACAAAACCAAAGAACAAATTATCAAGCCTACTGTAGTTATAGATTATAATAACATGGGTGGAATTGACGGAGGTGACCAAATTCTAAGCAAATTCCATATTATGCGACGGTATCAGAAAGTATTTAAAAAAATTTCTTTCTATTGCGTTGACATGATTCTTTTGAACAGTTATGTTATTTTCAAGACTATTCATAAAGACAGAGCATTTCACGTCTTCAAACAAAAATTAGCTGAAGAAATTATTGAACATAATATAAAAACACTAAAAGAACAAAAAAAAAAAAAACACGGAAAGTTACAAAGTGCCCATCATTGCCATCAAGATTTACTGGACAACATTTTTCAATAGTGATGACATCAACTTCATCAAGAAAAGCTCAAAAGCCTTGTGTCGTTTGTTTATCTCAAAAGAAACGAAGAAAAACAATTTATCAATGTGAAAATTGTGAAGTAGCTTTATGCATTCACCACTTTAAATACTATCATACTACACAAAATAATTAATCAACATTCCTGGCATTATCAATAATATATATGTGCGTAAACCACATCTTTGCGATTCATTCTTTCTTACGTAAATATGTACAGAATGCTGAAATATAAAGTTCCTTTTACTTGTAATTTTTCTACTTAAATATGATTAAAAAAAAATTTGTTGATGAGGGCCTTATTTTTCATACTTCCTTATGATGCAAATGGGTTAAAGGAGGAGGTGGATCAATCATGGTTTGGAGAGCCCATGACAATAAATGGCGTCGGTCCAATACATCGCGTAGAGGGCATAATGAATCAACATGTATACGAAAATATTTTAGAAACAGTACTACATATTACCGTATACAACTAATGATTTATGCGAGGAATGGATATTTCAAGCGAATAACGATCCGTGTTCGATGCCGGCAAGTCCCCGCGCGCGATTTACTAGCGCACAGTGGGCCAGGAACCCTCAAAACCTGGCCAAAAGTCAAGAATTCATCCGATTTTTCTGAAACTTGGTAATTAGGGGTTTTCGAGGTCGCTGATAACGAATATAACACTAAAAATTCAAAATTTAAAATATTGGATTCACAACGGTTGCTATAATATTAAAAAAATAAGTTTTTCTAATAAAAACGCGTGTAGTTTGCCTAGAATTTCTGTAATTAGCCTGAATTTCTGTAATTCTTTAATTACCATTTCGGTAATTTGGGGTGCTTTATTAGAGTGAGTCCCCTTACCTCTCACTACTCGAGATGTTAAAGAATGTAAGTGAATCGTCTTGAATTCATGATTCTGTAGGTAACGTCAATCGTTTTTTATTGAACATATATTTAAAATTCTGTCAGTTCATTTGCCAGTTCAAGCTTATCTAATCGTGTGAAAGTGTATAGAAGATCTGTATTTTTACTCCCTTCGTCTTCATCTGCATTCATGTCTTCACTGTCACTATCGTCTACATGAGAAATAGTACAACTGCTCACATTTTTTTTCAGGAGCAGCTAACAAATGATTTATCTCTGGTGGAATGGATAAAAATTTCTCTTTTCTTAGACGTGAATTAATATTTAAAGTTGATATTATAATATCTGATGTATTCATTAATCTATAAAATACATCTGCCAAAGTTATTTTATGACTTACTTTTCTACTATGATATTGTCTGTAATTTTTAAAATATTTATTACGAGCTTCACTAGCTTCTTCGCCAAGCATTCCTACAGGTAGAATACTCGTACTTATAATATCTGCACCATGAATAAGAATTTTGTGTAATGTTGCATGCATAGGAAACCATGAATAGTTTGCAACATATATTTCAGCTGTATCTGAGCAAAATTTAATTTATTAAGTGGCTTAAATTATGTTGTTGGACTTCTTAAATTTTAATACGAATAAATGAACTTTGATTTTTTATGGGGCTACATAGAGGAAAATGCTGTGGCACCGACACCTACTACAAAAGAGTATATGAAAAGAAGAATTCACACCGCATGTAAATCCATAAGTCTAACAATATTATCAACTGTTCGCAAAGATATTATCACAAGAATAAA